CGTCTGAAAGAGACAAAGTGAGCGAATATTTGTATGACTCGAAGCGAATTTACGATGCTTTTGCAGCGATGCACAAAAACCACCTGTGTCAAATGCCATTCTTTTTCTCTCTCCATAAACACGTTAGTTTCTTTTACAACAGTGCATTTGTCGCTTGTGATAACGATGCATTTTCCATTTTCCAATGACGTTGGCTTGGACTCGAATCGCAAGCCCATCTACTCGCTCCCACTCGCGTGCGCATTCGTTCACCGAGAGAGAAAATTGTGCATTGTTATCGCTGACACTAATTCATGCACATAATTTCTATTTTGTTGGCTGTTATGCTCTTTTCGGGGCGCAGCGTTTTTGTTATTGTTTTATTTATCATTTTCAGCTTCAGCTGCAGTACAAGAACTCTATCAAACAGTTGCAAATGCGTATAAATGATGTGTCAACATGAAAAGCACGTCAAGACAATGCACTGAATCCACACTCGCTGGCATCAGTGCACGTAATCCAATTTGTCGGTGAACGAAGAGAAAAAAATCCATTTCTCTCTGATTCGCCAGAGAAGACGAACGAGAGAGAAAAAAAAATTCAATGCACAAAAATTATTCTTATTTGAGAGAGATGTATTTTCGCCGTCAGCTTCAAAAGCATGATGAAAATATTCTGGCTTTGAACTGAAGTGAAAATTCGTCGTTGCTTTTATTCCGGCGAAAATTTATTGAGTTCCAAAGTACACACACACACTGCACTATTGGAGATGATAATGTGTACGCCTTTTTAATCTAAAACCGAAACCACAACAATGCACATCGTTTCTCTTCTCCACTCTCTGTATGCGCACGATGTTGTGATTACAATGTTCCACCGAAAAATATTTTCAAAGCAAAAATATTTGCTCGATGTTAATCGCCCAGAAAAAAACCAACAAAAACAACAAAAATAAAACGAGTACTATCAAATCGAATACAGAATTGTGACTGAGGCGAAATTGCCTATGTGAATATGATCGAGTTTCGTGGCGAATTTCGTACAATATACAAAACGACCAAGACCAAGACCTGCCCGGAGTGTGCATGTGTTGGACGCGAGCGTATTTATTTTAGCTAAAATTAAAATAATCAATCGACATATCGATGTGTGTGTGCAATTCTGCTTTGATGTTTGAACGAGAATCCAAACGACACAAGCAACACGATACTTAAAGAAATCGCACGCACACACACACTCGCACCGCCCGAAAAATAAAATCTATCTCGATATATGATGTATGTGCTTGAGGCGAGCTACGCTGTATGGTATGTGTGTGTTAGTGTATATGCGAACAACAACACAAACCGCGACATTATAGCTGCGGGTGATTCTGCTATATATTGTTTTTTGCGCTCTCTTCTCTACTCCAGTCTATGTGTGTGTTTTTGAGTGTAAAGTAATTTGTGTTTTGAATTTTGTATGACATGCTCGAGCGTAAAATTAGCAAATGTATGAGAGTGAATACTGAAAAAAAACACACATACTGTTCAAATCACACATTGCAAGCGACTTGTTTTGGTGTTTTTAGCGATGACATAAAATGTACACGGCTAAAATGCCTTTAAATGCTTACCGAAGGTGAGTGAGTGATACACAAAAATATTGCGAGTGCTTTTTTCCACTCGCTCTTTCTCTATGTGTGTTTGCTCCGTTTCGATAGCATGCCATACCATAACATACGTAGATTTTGTCTATTCGCCAGTGTATCGACTATTTGTACAAAATCGAACGAGTTAACGAAGCAAGGTGCCATTATTCATACCTTATCTCTGTATTGCATAAACACAATGTCAATACAATAAATATAGGCTATGCTTTGAATTTTCGGAACTTGAAAACGTTATCTCACTGTTATCAGCCCCGCTACTCATGCTAAATGTTTACGTTTGTGCGTTTGTTTGTTTGGAATTTGTCATTCGAGAGATAATTTACCAGAAAGAACGGTATATGTGTGTGTATCGTTGGAGCCACAACTCGAAATAGATATTGCGCATTGATAATAATCAAGCTAAATCCAAGCAAAAATTCCACGCTAAATTTTGCATATACACATTCCATCAGCACGTCATATTGTATCTCATACTCAATTATTCATACACAATGAAATAGATGTGATGTTATAGCCCCGTGTATCTCATACCAAAATATAAACGTTGAGTGTGTGACACATGACACAACATGTCGCGTCCACGCACACACATCGATTTAATTATGGAATCCGATTAAAGTCGATGCGTCATAAAATGTATGACCGTAATCTTGTGATCCAGTAGATCTAGTTCAAAGTGCCTTTCGGTTTCACATGACCCGAATTTTCTCTCCCTCTGTTCCACTCTATGGCTGTACTTGTAATGACATTTTATGCTGGTAATTGGATTTTGACGCTCAGTATGAACGAAGAAAGGTGCGAATTGTTCCTCGTTAGTTCGGGTAGTGTTTTCATTGAGAAGATTTGTTGAATGGGCAATTACCGCCTGCTTTTGGGTCGCGCATTTTATCGTTTATCGTCATGAATGAGCTATCATCGATATATCGTTTGATCGATTACAACCCGAACGAAAATTCATTTCACACAATCCGATGATTTATCGATTTTTGGCTGTTCATTTGCTCACGGCGTTGCGGGCGCATAGCAAGAGAGAGAAAAGTGTCTTTGTTCTTCAATAGCTTGACCTTGAGATGTATCTAATGAACAGTCGATAATTAAATTATATTCATACTGTTGGAATTCACGACTCTTTCTGCACTATTCGAATGTGCCAACCTTCGGTCAAAAGATGAAAAATTATTACGCTTTTTTCCTTCTTCTTATTTTGCTAGTTGCGCCATGTATAGGTCTAGAATTCAGTTAAATGTTTCTTTTGTTAAGCGAGACGCTCTAAAGTCTAATTACAACCATGAATTATGACTTCTGTCGCGCGGGACAATAACCAGAGACAGATGAGGGAGTTTATTAGTTTGTTGAGCGTATGAATACACAAAGAACTAATGGGTTCGAACTGCTTTGAACATTTTTCATTTGAAGAATGTGTGATGAAGTAATACAATATTACTTTGGCGGTTCGATATATGAGGAAAGAGAGAGAGAGAGAGAGAGAGAGAGAGAGAGAAAGACGAAAGGCAATTTGATACTTGATCAATGAACATTGTAAATAATATACTTCATATGCACAACAGCCATCGTGCGCGCGTAATATTTCCGAAAGGTTTCTTCGCAACGTACTTTCTTTTTGGCATGCGAAGAAGCACTGTAAATGTTGACAACAACTTTTTCATCATATACATATACGTATAATTTTTCGACTGTAAAATCCCAGAGCTCTGCTCTCCAAACGTGTGAAAGTTGACATTTTGGTTTTTTTTCTCCATTCGCTTCCGATTCCAAACAACAGCAAAATCAAACTTTGTACGCAACATAAACAAAGACAAAATGAGCCAAATAATGCAATTCCATGGAATTTCGAGAAGAGGATATACAAAACTTTTCCACAACTCAAACTTATAATGTGTAACGAAAATTGAATTTAATCCAATGCTGCATATATATCCAATGTGTGCATAAGTGTCATTCGATATGTGAGGTATTCGGAATGGGAATATATATATATATATGTGCTATTGATCGATTTTATTTGGAAAATTGTACTCAGTCGTCTATGATAAATCGCGTCGATTGGCCTATCATTTTCCGCATTGCACGAGCAATGAAGCGTTTCTTGCCATTTCATCGCTTTATCGCCACACATTTTGATGGGTGTTTGTTGTGTGTGTTTGATTTTGATACCAAAACAAATCTGAACGCGTCATATCCGCAGTGGAGTTGTGTTGGATGCGCGAAATCAATATTGTATTTCAATGCATACACATCCAAACGCTAAGAATATAATATACGTGCGAACGTGCAGTGCTTATCAGCAGTGTTCGGGGCGCATTTGCAATGTAGAATCGACTACAACATCGATTGCATTCTATAAGTTGTGGTGAAAAGTTTTTAATCTATGTGTGGAAATTGTGTGTGTGCGAAAATTTATTGATGAACTTAAAGTTCGGGTCGTTTTCGTCACTTTTCTGTATACACATAAATTCAATTAAATGAACGAACGAAGAGATCGATTCAATTGTTTGCACTACAAACAAGAGAGCGAAAGCGAGAGAGAGTTTCAATTAAATAGAAAGTGGTTTCGAAACCAAAAATGGCGAAGGAAACAAAGCGATTAATAATTCAATTAAATTCCATTGTTCCAATATGCAATATGTGTGTCCTTGACCTTTCTAATTTATTACGCCAAAAGGTATATTGTTCTTGTGAGCATCGAAGCCATAGTTTGGATTGTCAATGACGCTGCCTGATCTCGTTCACCCACACATCTGTTCAGCAGTAGCTCATTCTACCATATACGTACAGTACAGCACACATCAGAAATCAATGCATTTTAGATTGTGTTCTAAGACATTTACATGACGCTTTATTGCCGACGAAAATCGATCGAATTACAAAAACACAACAAAATACATGCTACACCCATTCCATAAGAGAGCCAGGTGGTGCGTTCAATGAATTACAAATCATGTTTGAAGCAACACCGCTTTGTCGTACATTTAAAATTGTGTTTGTTTACATCTCTAATTCATTCGTTGAACACACCTAATTGAACTGTTTATTTGCGTGCGCTCATTTTCGTTGTCGTTAAACATTTTTCGATCTGTTGTTGGCTTGTTGTGCCAACCCGAATGCTGATTAGCACTTACATGTGACTTTTGCTACTCGATTTGACGAGTACAGCACAATCGCTCCCCCGTTTGTAGTAAATGCGCATTTGGTTGAAGGCGATTTTGTTTCGATTTCAACTATTTACTCATGGGCTAATTATCTCGAGATGTCGTCAGCAATTTGGATACCCATCTCAACACCGTCATTTCGCTATTTTGTGTCAGTTACATATATAAATTAAATGTAAAAAATTCTGTACAAAACTCACCACAATCATTCAAATGGCCGGGTTTGTTCTCACGATTGCTCTCCGTTAAACTGGTGTTGTCGTTGTTGGTTGCGGCAATTGGCGGCACTGTTTCAAGTTGCTTCGGTGCATTTGCCAATAAGATGTTTGCAACTGTCTTGTCAATAGCACCATGTTGAACACGTTTGTTTTTCAAATGATGTGGCGTATCTCTGTGATATAAATGATGAAACAAACATGAGTATTGGCAACAATCGTATCATTTCAGCGTTTACATCGTTTAATACACTTACCGCCTATGCAATTTGATTGGATGCAATTTCTCAATCTCTTCTTCTTCTTCTTCATCACCACCTTCCGAATCATTTTTCTCTGCCTCTTCTTCCATTGAGAATCCAACTTTACGCTCATTGAATCCCTGAATAGATTGAAATTTTAGTAAGAAAAATATACTTTTCATATTGGATTTCATTAGATAAAACACTTTCTAGATCATACTGCAATTTCATTTTTGAAAAAAAAAAACAACAGAAAACATAATTTTACTTACATTTACTTCTCCATTTTCATCATCTCCATAGGATTGATGTCGTTCGGTAGCTCCACCGAAAATTGGCTCTTGTGAAATACTTGTTGCAACGGTGGTCGAAGTGTTCGATGGAGGCGGCACAATTGATTCGACTTCGGTTCGTGCCTCGGATATGTTATCCATGGTCGTGGAATTAATGATGGTCGTTTTGCCCGATGATGGTTTTGATGATGACTAAATGTGTTCCACACACACACATGAAACCGGAGAAAAGCGTCATTTAGAACATTTCAACGTTTCGCAAACTGTAAATGGTTTTCGCAAAAGCTTTTCATATATGAAAAAAAAAGAACATACCTCTTCGGACAGGGTGTCCAAATTGCCACCGTCATCGGCTTTATTTTTCTCTTTCGCAAACAATTTGTGTGCTTTGAGTTTCAATTCTTTCGGATGTGGTGTATTCTGACGTACGAATGGCGTATCCTTATCGGCAATGCCAGAATCTTCGGAAAATTTAACGGAATGTGTACGAGATGCTTCACGCTCTTCCCATGCTTCATCATCGGAAGACCCTTCATCGTCGTGACCATCTGTGAACATGTGCAAAATGTGCGATAGAAAACAAACCGGTCAGAGAACGAATTAAAATAGAAATTTAACCAAAAATTGGTTAGTTGTAACAGGAAACAATCATCAATCACACACAATATTCTTGGTTATTTTCAATCAAATTGTGAATATGCAAGTGTTTATCAGCTACGGTTTTATCATATTTATCTATCATTGTATACCATGTAGAGAAAATGTAATCGAAAATTACTATTCCGTGATTCATGCTTATTGTGTTAGTTGCATCGTAGTTGGATTAGAGGCAGACATACGAATTGAAAATCAATTCCGATAAAACGATGTTTCGATGTGGCCGACACTTCAATTCACATGTTTTCTTGTTTATTCAAGAGAGAGCGAGAGTTCAAATCGATTATTCTGTCGAACATGTTTTGATTATAATAAATATAGACTAACATCGGAATGTTATTATCAATTGTGTTGCGAAGAAGAGCGTTAGCGTCATCAAACTCCAAATATTCATCCACACACACACACAAGAGCATTGGCTCTTTTTGAATACGCAATGAGAATGCCATGTCTCGTCTTCGATTTGAGTACTTAATCGTTCTTTGCCGAATTTGTGGGTGTGTGTACGACCGAGATTTTCTATAAATAACCGCTCCAAAATAAATATGAGATATATTGTCGTCAATAGTTGCTGGTATGTGCATTTATTGAGTCGTTCATATGGCCTTCATGCATATTATGGATGAACGGTTAATTAATTAGACAAACTATTGTTAGTTACAGTTAATAAAATACGATTTCGGTATGAGAAGATCATGTGCGAAACCCATAAATTGTTGGGTCGCAGCAACAGCACCATTAAATGATGCGTTTGAAATTTCATACTTAAATCACAATGAATCCACGTAAATGGCATGCTTGTAGAACATTCCATTGTTAGTTTATTAGCTCGCAATGTAAAGTCTGTTCGCGCTTGTTATGTGTTCAACGTATTTTTAGCTGAGATTTCCTATTCGACATCGATTCGAAGAACACGAGCACACACACATTTTCGACTCAAACTGTATGCACTCTATCCATTCAGTGCTCGATTTGTGCATCTTAACAAAATGCAGCAAATTCATTTCGAACGAACTTTATTTTCGAACATTGTTTGTGTACAAACATGTAACATGTTTTAGAAAATGTGTTCGCTTTGATATCGAATGGAATTTCAGTGTTGGGGTATGAGCAGAAGATGGTTATTTCATCAAAGGCAGCCAAACAGTATATATATACGTGTGTGAAATCCTAGCGGATCGAGAGTTAATCAATGTACTCAGAGAATGAATGATAAGGTCTTTTTACCATGAATGCGTTTGTATTTGGTTACCATTTTCAGCAGCACTAGTCATGAGCAAATGAAAAACATGTAAAAGCATTCAAAGAATTTCTGGTTAAGTTTGAAGTGGGAGGCAAACAGAGAGAGAGAGAGAGAGAGAGAGAGAGACAGGCAAAATAGAGAGAGAAAGATAGACATAGAGAATGTCTACTGGAGTAAATGTTGTATTTGTATGGTTAATCTCGAGCTTCAAAAATAGATTTCATTTGTGTTGTATAAATGCAAACCTTCAATTAGGGATAAATCCATTGAATCGAATCTTTGATTCGATCGATACAAGCGGCCAGGTAGAAGAATTTCTTTAAAATAGAAATTCCATCAATATTTTAGATTAGAAAACATCATCGGAATAAGAGAATTTTCATAAATCTTCTAACAACAAAATGCTGCCTTAATTAAAGTTTACTTCGAACACATCGAACCGGATGCTTTATCAAAATTAATGCGGATGCTTATCATTTGTGGTGTGATAGACTCAAACGGACCCATCGGCAGAGTCGAATACAAACGAAGACGAGAATTTTTTTTTGGGTGCGATAGTTCAAAGTAAATTATGTTTATACATGGGTATGTGTATGCAAATGTTTTTCAGACTAAAAATAAAACTCACCTGCACCTTGTGGTTGATATTCCAACTGGGGCAACAAGAAGCATGTCAATACCTGTTGGTACATAAAAAGAAATAAAGTACGGAATTGGTGGTTTGATTGATAAAATGCTCTCCTGAAGTGTTTGACTGTTTGTGTCACACACACATTCCCGTGGTGACCAATGACAAGTGTGCTTCAGTGTGCATATATCAAAATGATTTGGCATCTCGTATTTTGAAAAAAAAAATATTCAAAACTTTTCCCATTTTCCAACCTGTTCGCCCGTATGCTCGTCCGTATCAGTTTGAAATGTGAGCAGTGGTTGTGCCTGGTTCTCCGATAGCCAAACCGCTTTCAATTGTAAATTGACCAGTGTGTATGGTAGATATTGTAATTGATTACCCGATACGTCAAGCACATGCAACTCCGTACAGTTGCCCAATTCACTTGGCAATTTTTTCAGCTTATTGTCACGTAAACTGAGCACACCCAATGATATACAATTGCCAATTTCGATGGGTATCGATTCTAAGCTATTTCTATCTACATTCAAATTATTCAATTTTATCAAACGTCCAATCGATTTGGGCAATTTGCGAAGGAAATTTTCGGTCAGTATAAGCTCTTGTAAATTTTCACATCTGTTCACAGTCGAAAACGATAGATAGAAAGAGAATATATGAAGTGATTAAAAGATTAAGATCAAAGGGAAAATCAATTGAGATAAATAAGCTCAATTGATTCAATGTGTGTATGTATACGTGGCTTTAGCAACACAAACACCAAAAATAGATCAATTTACTTACAATCCGATTGATTCATTCAGAATGTCTACACGATTTTGATCCAATTTGAGAATCGTCAATTTGCGCAACTTTGACATGCCATCCGGCAATGTTTCCAGAACATTTTGCGATAAATGCAAATCGGTCAAATTTACTAAGCCGCCAATTTCTTCAGGTAATTCTTCTAGTCTGTGTGTGTGTTTCATCATGGAATTGAAAAAAAAAAATGATAGCAAAAAAAAATTGTATTCGGTTAATTAATACGCTGAATTCACAGCTTGAAACAATGTTGAATAAAATGAATCGCCATTTAACTGTATGTCGAAAGCAAGTCAATGACATCAATTTACGACGAATGCATACGTATAATTTTCTCTCTATTACGTTGCGCGGCAAACTGTTCGCTAGAATTCCCGGATAGGAGTCAAGAATTGAGAATAAAAACATCACAACAACAACAACACCACATTGAATATTTCAACGTTTCACGTTGCTACGTCACTTTTTTAATTTTACTCAAGAAATGGACAATAACTTCAACATATTTATGCTAAACACGCACGCATCACTCCCATACAATTTAGTTGGTTGGCTCATTTTTTTTTTAGCTAAGGCTTGCACGTTTCTTTTTTCTTCTCTCTGTGTTGCGTACTGCACGCATACAATTTGTTTTAATCAGAAACAATGTGTAAAAAGTTGTTGTGTGTGCGATGGAGCTATGCGCGTTTAGTTATTAGAATGAAATTCTTGTTGTTGCTTTTTTTCCTCTCTTCCTTTGCATGCTGTTGTTGTTATTTTTTTCGCAGTTAAGCAATGGATAGTATGATTAACTGGTAAATTCATAACGCTCATTTTCTCATTTTTTTCGTTAAACGAATTTGTCTCGTTGCTTTTGTTTAGAAGAATCTTTGTTATTCAACAGATCTATTTTTCTTCGACAATTTTGTCATACTCACTTGTTTTCCGATACATCGAGACACGTCAAATTTGTCAAGCGGCCAATTTCCGGTGGCAACCGCTGCAATTGATTGTGATCTAACCATAGCTCTTGTAATGCTGGCAAATAACCTAAATGCGCCGCCAGTGTCACAATGTCGTTGTCGCCCAAATCCAATCGTTCCAATTTGGTTAATCTACTTATCGATTCCGGTAAATCCTTTAATAAATTCTCTCGCAATTCCAGTGACTCCAGGTTGGACAAGCTGAAAAGAAGAGAAAAAAATGCCCATAGTTAAATGGTAAAACGAAAAAGTTAAATGTATAATAATAAATACAGCTTAGAATTTTAATTTAAAACGCCTAGCTGTAAATGTTTTGTATGGAATGGCTCATCGCTGGATTTACGATGGGATTTTAACTGTAAACAACAAATGTCAATTGTATTTACTGCTTATGTTGCTGTTTATTTTTTTCTATGACATTTAAAGCCATTTTACAACTTTCGTTTTCAGCTCTACATATTTTCGCCTTTTCTAGACATTGCACATTCAGTCGGAACATAAACCGTTTGAGCTGCGAGCATTCGACGGATGCAGAGCGAGAGAGAGAGATAGAGAGTGAGTGTGTAACATGTCGCATGTATGTATTGATTAGTGAATGACTAACCGTTGGAAGGTATAAAGTGTGCTTCGAGATGATTTGACACATGTATATCATCAATGTCGGCTAGTCGTTTGCATGATTCACTTCTCTTCTTCAATCGTTTGCCATCCGAAAATGGCGCTTCGTAAACGTTTTAAAACAGAATGAGAGAGAAAGAGAGAAAAAACAACACGGAATGATGAGGCGCAAAGTATATAGCTACTAGCTGTGAGTTTGATATTATGTGATGGATGGGATCGATGTCGCTTCGCATTCATAACCGGAAATTATATAAAACTCTCTCTCTCTCTCTCTCTCTCTCGCTCTCTTTTAATGAACTTTATATTGTCTTTGTGTTGCTGTGTTGTGCTGCGACTCAGAGCCACCGAGTTGCGTTCTCTCTCTTCCACTTCAGCCGTCATTTCAGCGATGATTGGGTTTTTATAATCCAATTATTGATTTTTATGTCGTTAGATCTGCAGTAAAACGTATTAATATCGTAATCGCCTTTTTGCCCCGTTCGCATCAATAGACTTTTGCGTACAAACGCAAGCACACACACACACTCTCTCATATTTTTCGCTTCTCATTACGGGCAATTTTATTTAAATAGATTTTCGAGGCGCACACAGCAACACACTCACTCTTCTTCACTAGAACTGGTTCACTCGTACTGTGCCCAACAGCACTCTCATTTATTCACATTAAAACCATTTTGTATACAAAATCTATATATGTGAACGCATCAGTTAAAAACACAGAGTGCCACAGATGGGATGAAACCAACGTTATCGATTTATAATTCCACAGAAAATGGATACGTTTTTCAATTGTTCTGGAATCAGTGCGTGGTATAGTATACCAACAGCGATTTTATCAATAATTTTCAGCCCGAATCTGAAAACCTTAACTTTATCCAATCCATTTTACAATTAATTCGGTTTGATTATTGATTTTCACTAACGGAATATTCGATCAAATGAGAGCGAGCGGCAAGAGAGAGAGAGAGAGAGCAAAAAAAGCCATTGAAAGTTAAATCTGATGCAATTAATTAATAGTTCGGACACTTTTTGCCGCTTTCTCACACACTCACTCATTATTTATTTAATGAAAGGTTCACCAAATGGTAATAAATGCTGTGATGACCCAAACGCGCGCATCAAACACAATATTCGCATTTATTTTAATCGCTCTTTTCAGAGATTATAAATTCCCAGAACGGTTTTTTTCCTGCAAATATTGAAAGTAATGGACACGGTAAATGTGACACTGGGGCTGGAGCTGATTAATACCATTAATTAGATAAAAAGTACAATAATATCAGCCAATTTTCAGTTTTTCATGTTAAATGCGATTATATAGTTTTATTTCTTCTCGTTGGGAATTTCGACTCTTTCTCCATTGCCTTGAATCTAAGAAAGTCATTCGCGGTAAATTTCGGAGCAAATCGACGAATCAATTGGTGAATAATGGAGGTAGAGAGTGCAAAGCGTGCAACATGAATTCGCTACGCTTTTTATTCGTTGAGCTACAGAACGAGATGTTTACCTAACGGTAATTGAGGGTAACAGCATTAAGAGCAATCATGACTCATGAATCATGTGGTTTTCCATGGCAATGAATTTAATATCGTGAAATGCGCTCGGTGCTTATGTTGGTGTTTTCTTCGCTTTTCTACTACGATTGTGTATAGATTCCGTGCAAAGCCGTGGCATCTAAAATTAGATGCTTACGAAAAAGGTCAATTTGCTTGTTCAATCGAAATGCCAATGCAAAATGTCAATACGCGACTGAGTCTTTTACGCTATACGATCAATTCTTCGTAGGCTGTTAATCCTTCGGAAAAAAAGATATGCAGAAGAAAAATAATGAATTAGCATTGTTTCTCGTTTGGCGCTCGTTGTCGATATACACATTTCCAAAAAAAAAACAAACCATTATACCATTATGATCAATTACGTCAATTATACGTTTCGTGTTTTCACGCTGAAAATTTCGCTCGTTCGATTCCAATGTTTGCGATTTGTGTGTATGTGGATTGAATTGATTTATAATCCGATGGCGAAGAGATAAATGCCGAGGGAAAAAGAGCAATCGCGCAATGTGATTCTTGTTTGTCTTTCCAATCAGTTTGATCATGTTCAAAATATTTGACGTCATGGAGAATAAACAGAGAACCGTGTGATTGGCATTTAATTCATTAGATTTTATCTTGAAAATGGGCACGTACACTAAACAGGAATTATGCTGATGCCTGATAATGGTAAAAAACAATGTTGTTCTACTTGTACTGACAATGGAACAGAGCCAGAATCATTTGTGGACTGAAACAACAACAACAACAATAAAAACCGAAACCATACTTACTTTCCAAAATCCTCTGGAAGCGATGTTAATGACATATCATTCAATCCTAATACTGTTAGATTTTTTAAATGAGAAAATCCGGGTGGTAAGCGGTCGATTGGATTCGAGCTAAAATCTGCTGTGTGCAAACTTTTGAGATGCCGTATCTCATCTGGAATGTCGGGGATTTCTGGAATGACAACAAAAAGAAAATTATTAAATTTTTGAGAATTAATATTCAATTTACTAAAATGATTATGAATGAATAAATTATGGACGTGGTGTATATGTTTGTGTCTAGAATTGTGTACGCCTACAAGTTCCCTCAAGCATTAAATCCAAAATTCCAAAGTGTGCGTTGAACAATTTTGCAGTCAAGCGTCGATAATTTGCACAAATGTAAGGAATTCTATTTTATGTAACGATACACAACGTTCGAATTTCGACGGATTCTCTCTCCCTCTCTCCTTCTCACTATCAACTTGATTCGCTTTGTGCAATCAGCAACAGACGTTCTATATCTACTCGACGCGACTCTGTTGAATTTGCATTTAAATGTTTATGTGGCATAACGTATGGTGATAAAACAAAAATTTTTATTTGTCAACGGAAACACAGACGTGCAGTTTTGTCCATTTATTACCGATGCTTAATTTCAATGAATTTCGTGTAATTGGAATAGCGTGCCTTTATAACATCGCAATTTTATGGCTCACAATCAACATGATTCAACTGACGAATAAGCGAGCAAACGAGCGAATTGCTTGCATGCTCCTCAACCGTACAATTGTTCCAACCATGGATGTAGATCATTAGAACAGGTAAAAGACAATCTATAAATAAATGAAAAGAAAGAAGAAGGGAAGAAAGAGCGAAAGAGCGAAAAGAACACAGTTGTGTGCAGGAGCTATGTGATTGTGGTTCAACCAGTTGTAATATTTTTCTCTTGTTTTTATCATCATCATCATCATCGTTGCATGGGATTTCATTTGTATTTGCACAATGGCATTTTCAATTTATGTTCTTTGTGCATCTTGATCATCGTCGACGCTACGACATACAATAATTTAAATCAGTTGAAGTGGAAGCGAAAAAAACACACACAAATTTTATGAATGGCTTAACTACACACAAGCTCTGGGAGTTCCTTTGAGCGCAATGTTGCTTGCGAAAATACGCGCACGATGGCTCGGAAGAAGGCGAGTTGAGAACGCACATGATATGCCCGCAGTCAACAGTAGAAACAATATCAAGCTAGAGATAGAATCTGAGGGAGAGAGAAAGAGATAGAGTTGGTGGCTCGACCCCAAGAAATTTCGCATTCACATTCGATAAATTTGCTACAATAGAGCTAACATGAGTCGTTGAATTTCATTCACTTTTCTTTGCATTTCTTTTCAAATGTTTGTTTTCTTCGGCTGCACGGTGTAATCTTCTGGCAAAAACTGGTAAGTAAATTACTGCGTTTGATGTTCAGGCCCATGGATACGGAGCTACAACATTGACATTGTGTAAAATTACGCTCATTGCTCACACAAACATTTTGAAATGGCAGAGGAAGGAAGAAGAAATGCAACGCTGAGAAACACGAAGAAGACGATGGCAACGGCAAACTAACGCAGGCGGAAAAGGACATCAAGATTAGTGCGAAAATTAATGTTTATGAGTGTTGACGGTGATGATGATGTCAGATGTTGGCTCTCGACTGTAATGAATGTGACAAGTGAAGAAGCGCGACTCTTACGTGTGTTGTCCACGCAGAAAACCACGCACTGATTTTTTTGCTCTTGCTTGCGATCGCGCGTCTCAACCGAGAGAACCACGAAGACAAAAAAGAAATGAAGAAAGTCATTGTTCTCGACCTTGTCTTGTTAACCACTAAAAACGCATATACATAAAGCAGCGACAACAGCAGAAGAAGAGAACGAAATAACGAACAAGCGTTTGAACGCGAGTGCGTACATTTTATGCTTTTTTACGAGGTGTACAAAAGACGCGAAGTGTCATTTCAACGACAATGGTTTTGTTTTCTTTTCATTTCTTTGTGTCTCATCGCCAGTGAGAAGCGAGAGGAGGAAAAAAATGGCATAGAGAAAGACAAGTTTAGCATTTTTCACATAGCTAGAGATTACATAAAAGATCCCGAACAACACACCGCACGGCTTACCAACGGAATTTCCAAATCAACTCGTAATAGCAACAAATCAGCGTCAAATTTTAATGCCAATTCGACGTCGTCGTCGTAGTCGTGGTCGTGGTCGTCAGCTGGTGTAAATTTCGAAGTTTGCGTCTATCTGTTGTTTTTGTTTCGTTTTCTAGCATAAATCTCGTCTCAAGGTAATGCACTGCTTAGTATCAGCGAATAAATTTCACCGCGAATGAATTGTGTGCGCCACTGAACAACAGATGCCAAATGACATGAACTTGGTATCCAAGTGATTAAGATTTTTAAATAGATCAGTTTATTTATTGCATTCGAAATGAGCATTAAATGCGCTATACACGCAGGCACACACATACAACGAAGAGAAAGTGTCTATCGCTTTGGGATGCTATTAATAAACAGCACAGCATAATAGTAGGTTTAAGAAAAAATATTTAGTGGGTTCTAAGCCGAATTTTTTTTCACGTTGCTGTTGTTCTTCTTCAATTCTGTGATCGAAAGCATCAGTTCAAACTGCTTATTTCCCCGTTACATGTTCATTGAACACATATTACGACCACTGCGACTAGACAACAGACGCGTGTTCACCGAAAAAAAAGAAAACGAAACGATCGGGGAAAAACGAAAGTAATAAATATTCTTCGTTCATTCTGACTGCTTTTTCTCACTCAGCATCAGCCGCAAGTCTCGAGAGCACAGATGACGTACACACACTCACTCTCTCTCTCACTCACTTGATGCGCCGATCGAATAACATGTGTGCTAGATGCAAATGATTCTCTACTGTAAATTGAAATGGCTTGTGTAGAGGGAACAAACAATCGAGAGAAGCAAAATAAAAAGATTTCGAATAAGTCGAAACGATTTGAAGCACGCGATTCACGATGGAAATAAAACAGAAGTTAAAAATGTCTTTCTCGTGTGCTCGTTCGGCTGATATGATAATTTAATTTGGCCGAGAGCAAACATGTCGGCCAACATTAATCAACGCGTTCAATACTATATGCACTACACTGTGTGTGTCTCTCTCACTCTCTCTTTCTCTCTCCGCGTCTATTTTGCGTGAACAATGTTTCAAACGAAGACATGGGAATACCATTTTTCGTTTGATGATAAAATAACAAATGGATTTCCTTTTAACGCATCGTTTGATGTACATTTTAGCACACATACAATCTGATGACTTGGCTTGGCTTGGCTTGGATTGGCTTGGTTTGATTTGACTTGGCTTGGTTTGTTATTGAACCACTAATTCAAGAAGTGTCGGGTTAAAATCTGAACGATTTTGATGCTTTGCGCTCGATGAATATTTCATTAGAGCGCGTTACTTTTATGAGCTTGTAGTGAATATGTGTGAAGCATTCAATGGAATTAAGAAGTCTGTGTGTGAGATCTAATCGCGTCACATTTCCAACACGGCCGCAATCACAGATAAAAATCAGCGTTGCTCTTTTCTCTCAATGTCATTCTTCATTTTCAGCGTAACCATGCGATCTAATTAAATGTATAACTTTTTTCGTTGGCTGTTTTTTTATTACCTTCGCACTTTTTGTGCGTGTTTCGTGTGTTGCTGCAGCAACCGAATAAACAAATTACGGATTAGAATGATAGTGAAATGATGAGAAAGAAATGAAAGTGTGGAGTCCGTGCGTTTTCCTACTTGGAAATTCTTGAGCTCTTTATTCTCTCTCTCTCTCTCTCTCTCTCTCTCTCTCCCTCTCTCTCTCTCTCTCTCTCTCTCTCTCTCTCTCTGTCTGTCTCTCTTCTCAACGCTCCGTTGATCGGATGGAAAGAAAACAAAGCGAAAAACGAAAGAAATAAAAAAAAACAACAATGTACACGAAGAGAGTTCAACGACCGATTCGAGAGACCGTGTTGTATTACGTTTTGTGGTTTACATTCCACATATTTCGTTTCTGGTGCGTACGGCGAATTGAAATGCGAAGCATACTGACTGATACTGCTGCTGCCAACGTTGTTCGTGGGGCTAGGGTCTGAATAATCTGCTATTGTAATCGCCAACATAACACTTTTTTCAAAAGTTAAGCTAGAACTCGACCATATTCTTTTTCTGTCTATTTTATTACGATGAAAAACCGGTGGAGATGTTGAGTTGTTTGAATAATGTACCACAATAAAACATAACTTAACAAATTCGAAAATCATGCATTTTGTTTTCTTCGATGTGGAAGAATTTAAATACACATATTTCTTCGGTAAATTCTTACCAAATTTACACAGAACGGTCGATTTAAGAACGAGAATATGCTTGTTCAAAACCAGATTTCTTCAGAAAAGTCAAATCGAAGGAAACTAGAGAGAAAAACGTGAGAAATGCATTTAAATCCGTTATAATCTGATTAAATCCCAATCAAAATGTACAAGAACACATGATAAAATGGAATTCCAGACGTGAAATCGCTTCAAATCCGATTCGGTTCATTCATTCAATTTCGATTTGAATACAAATCAGTCGATGGAACCATTGTGCAGAACCTTGTTCGTTTGCCTTTTCAAACCATGCAACGCATGTATGTGTGGCCCAGGGATCTCTGCTCTTCTGCTCGTACACTCTCTGAATGGAGCGGAAAATGCCTTTCATCAAAAATATGATGCTATATAATGAATGAAAGAAAAACAGAATGGTAACTGCCATTCAAAGGCTAAATTAAACTTTTGATTGAATCATAAACAAAATAATGTATGTGTTTGCCCATTGTGTTCAACGGTGGGTGTTTTTTTCTTCTTCATAAAATGAGCACTTGTGAATAGTAGTGCTCCTTTTCATTGCATTTATGTGCAAACTCAAATCAAATTCAATGAACGCTCTTTATCTCCCATACGCAATTAATTAATTTGATTCGTTTATCAGAACCAATAGAAGGATCATAGAAAGAAAAACTGAAGAAAAAAACGAAACAAGAGAAGAAATGAGTCGTATGTGTGTGCAGTGTATTGTCGGGTCAATGACTTTTCTTCGTTTATTTATTCAAATGCAATACCATAATTGATCAATCTGTAGAAGT